AATATTTTATTTATGTAAATTATATGCATAAAATTTTGAATTAATTGGTTGTGTTAATTAATTACTCTATAATTACATTTAATTTTATATAGTTAAATAAATAATAAAAATTACAATTTTTTGTCTATATAGTTACAGATATTAAATTACCTTAAAATTTAATATGTATAATTTTCATAAAATAAATGTTATATCACAATTGATTTGGTAAAATATAAATTGAACAGGATGATAGGTGCAACAATAATATAGCTTATATTAGTATAAGTTGATCATGACTCTTAATATTAATTTTTTATTAAATTTGAAAAAGTTAATCATTCAAAAAATTTTAATAAAATTTTGTGACAAATTGAATTAACTTTTATGTAGCATTTTCTCGATTACATTCGCAATAAAAATCTTTTAACTAAAATTACCAAATACCAAGCACATTTCTAACATTATTCTATAACCAATTATCACACGTATATAAAAAAGTCAAACCTCTTTAACAAGCAGATTAAGAATTTCTTGACAAGCAATCCAATCCTTCTCTCTGTACCCCTTCTACTACAGGAATAAAATTTTTCTCTGGTGGCCCCCCCAAAAAAAAAAAAAAAAAAAACTTAGCATTTATGTTTTATAGATATGAAGAAATATTTGCAATTACTAACCTTAAAATATTAAACTCACAAAAAATTAAAATTTTAAGAAAATGAAAAAGAAAAAATAAAAAAAGACACTTTCTTTAAAATAAATACTTTTTTTTTTTATCATTTTAGCATTATATTAAATTAATAGATCTTTTATGAAAAATTTTACCAAATAACTTTAGAATTAAGAGGTGCTTGTGCAAAAATTTTTATCAAACACCTTTAGTTTCTAAAATCAAAACTTTTACAATAGATTTTTTCAAACAAAAGTTATATAAAAAACTCTAACCATACCAAACATATGATTACCTCATAAATTTAAGAGAAATTTCTATGAATTTTTTAATCTAGAATGTATAATTTCTCACTAAATCAATATTGAATCAAAAAGATGAAAAAAAAGGGGGGTTGTTAGAGGTAATATTTTTTTTAAACAATGTAAAATTGGCATGATGTTGGTGCTTACAGAATTAGCCCTTGGATGGAAGGCCTATGAATTTGGGGGTCATGTTTATCTAAAGGTGTGGTTTTATAATTTGATATAGTCTAAACTACAAAGAAAAAAACTCTATTGCTTAAGCTATTAACATTGAACTTTTACTCAAGCAATTATGATTTAGTTGGCAGGGGGTTTGCTCCTTACCTTACCTTATTGACCAAGGTTCAATTCCTTGGGAATGTTAATGAAGAGATAATTTTTAGGATTGCTAACAAGTATGGTAATTTGTGAATAACTCGTGAGCTACTTAAGTTAAGTTTAAGTCGAGATTGAACTTGATAAAAAAAATGAGCTTAAACTCTAGCTCGAGCTTCCATGATTACTAGTGAATTACTAACAAGTACTCGGTATAAAATAAAAAATTATATTATATATTTATTTTTTAAATTTAAATATATAATAACTTAAAAACTTAGCAATATTGAAAACATAAGTAAATTACATTTTTTGAGTTATAACTATTAACAAAATGTTTAAATGGAGTTTATGGTTGTTTTCCTATTGCTGGACTTAATATATTGAAGCTTTAGGTACTATAATCTTTTTGAAAAATGTAGAAAAATTTATTATTAAATAATAAGTTATTAAAATATTTTGGAATTATAGGAAAAAATTTAACTTTAAGTTAAAATACTCCTTGATTTAAGCTCATGAGCAACTTTAAACTCACTCAAATACTCACGACCTTTAGCATGAGCTTAATTATTTTAAAGTTAAACCTCCAATTTGATTCCTCAATTATTATATAGACCCTAAGTTGGTATTTGAATTAAAAAAATTCTTGATTTGCTTCTTAAAGTTTTTAAATGGTTAAATGCTAATTTTGGTCCCACAACTTAAGGTTTTGCACAATTTTCATCCCTCAACTTTTTTTATACTTTTTTTATACTTTTTTTTCCCTCAACTACAAAAAATATACTTTTTTAGTCTTCTATTAGTTAATATGTTAAGTTTATCTAAATTTGCACATTTTTAGTTCCTTAATTTAAAGTTGAGGGATGAAAATGTGCATATATTAGAAGTTGAGGGACTAAAAATGTGTAGATTTAAATAGATTTAATAAATTAACTAACGAAATAACTAAAAAAGTGCATTTTTCACAATTAAAGGACCAAAAAAGTACAAGAAAGTTAAGAAATGAAAATTGTGCAAAACTTTAAAGTTAAGGGACCAAAATTGACATTTAACCTTTTTAAATTTGACGCCAAGTAAAAAAACTAATGTTTCCATTACTTGATGGTAGAAGGTCATTACTTGATGGGCACATGTTACCTTAGTAACGAAATATGCCAGTTGTTTTTATATGAAAGACCAACTAAGAGCTAAATTTAGAAACATTAGGGACCAAATTAGAGGTTTTTTTAGTTTAAGAACTAACTCCAAGGTCTATACAAAAGTTGAGGGACCAAATTGAGGGTTAAGTCTTATTTTGAGCTTAACAAATATTCAAACTCGAATTTTTAAAGTGAGGACAACCATGAGTAACTAAGTACTTGACTCGTTAACAACACTAATAATTCCTTATGAATTCTCTAATCTTAGTGTGGATGGCTTGTTTTTAACCAAGAAGGGGTCAGTCTCAGATTGCATACAAATTGGTTTGAGAACACCCTAATCACTAAAAAATAAAATAAAATAATGTTGAACTTTTATTTTTATTATATTTTAATTATTAATACTTTATTTCTCATCACTAGAGATAAGGTCAGGATTTCCTTCCATTTGTCATGTGAGTTGGTTTAGGGAATCCTCTTGAACTCAAACATGTAACAAGAGCACTTAATATCACATTCAACCTCATTGAAGCAAACATCGTAAACCACATGTTGCTTAAATTTGCCATCCTTTCCTCTAAAAAAGTCTTTCACTTGGAATTTCGATATTGATCCAGCAACTGAATCAACATCTAAATTACATTACATCATGTCTTGTATCTCTTCTTAAAACATTTTAAAATTTTCATCTATATAAGCCTCCTGAAATTGCTTCTCAAAAAAGAAATGAGTTATCACTGGAATATTGGAATTATGAGAAGCAAAATCTGCCTTATTCTCATTTTCAATCTTACTTTTCAAAGCATTATCATATTGCTTTATGAATTGCTTTGAAGATGTTTGTGCACCAACATAACCATCAAAGAAAGCATTCACACTCTCTCTTCATTGAGCAGTGGACATTCCAGCCCAAAAGGTATTTTTAATGTATGTTGGGACCCAATAATATAGAACATCATATAATGAATTTAGCCACTCATTCCTTTCAAGATTGAAATTCTTAATCATTTTACCCCATGTTTGTTCAAATTCATAAAATTTCAGACTCATAAACAACATTTTTTGAAATTTTCTTCACTTCCTTGTATTTAGCCAACCCTCCAAGTTTTTCTGGAATCTTTCTTATAATGTGCCAAAAACAAAATTGATCACGAGAATGAGGAAAAACTTTTGCAATGGCAGCCTTGATAGCTTTACATTGACCTATAACAATTGCTTTTGATTAATGACTTGACATACAATTTAACCATGAGCTAAACAACCAAATATAAGTCTCTATATCCTCATTTGATAGCAAACCACATCCAAGTAGCATAGTTTGTCCATGGTGGTTCATGCCAACAAATGGTGCATCCATGTCATATTTTAGTTAGGTATGTGGTGTCAAATGATATAACATCCCCAAATAATTCATATGCTGCAATTGACCCTAGATCAACCCAGAAGACATTTCTTAAGCAACCTTCTTCATCCATATCAATAATATAAAAGAAACTTGGATTTTTTATTGCATGTGAAAAAAATAATCATGAAGTGCTTTTGCATCACTAGCCCCAAGCCTAGGTTTTCTTGCTTTGGCAATATAATTTTGACAATCTCTCTCAGTAAATGGCAAGTTTTTATACCCTCCAACTTCAACAGCTAGTGGCTAAAAATTGTTACTCAATGAATCTCAACTTCATTGTTCACCTCAAGTCTTTTTTTAACTTGTGAATCCATCATCTTGTTGCATCTAAAGAATTGTGATTTACTTAGGCTAAGCCCATGCTTATGCTCCAAATTAACTCTAGAGATGATAAAACCCCCTTCATCACTAACCATCACATTAATTTTAGCCTTGCATCCAATCTTGACGGCTTGGGATTGAAACTTCTTTTTGCATTGCTTCTACTCTTACCAAGTTTGGGGCAGTTGGCCATCGTCTCCCTTCTTCATGCTTTTCTTAGTTATACCAAATCATTTTTTCTTAGCATAAGAAATGAAAAGATTATAAACCTCTATTTCAGAGTTACAGCCCATACCTGGACTTGAGCATCTAAATGGGGATTCAAAATTCCTTCACACTTTTCATGTTTGGACGGTTCATCTCTTCCAATTTCATGAGATTTTGCCTCCATTTCATGTTCTGATGGGTCTTCTCTTTCAATTTAACTAGATTTGGCTTTTGTTTTGTGTAAATTAAACATATATAAGATCATTAAAACATATAAACATAAAGTAAAGTACATTAAAAAGGATGAGAAGATACTACCTCCATTAGAATGAGGTAATGCAAGACAAATGGATGCTGGTATCGACCAAAAGTTAGTAAAATTACCTAAAAAAAAAAAAAAGGGTTCTGTGTTAAGAATTTTTATTTGAAAAACAAAAAATACTTAAATTCATGATAGAGAAATAGTTATATGTACAAACTTTACAAACCCTTTTTCCTATATCTCCCAACCAATTAATGGCCCTAAAATAGTTTAAGTAAACTAAGATATTTTGTGTTTCTAAAATTTCTTAAGATTTTCAATGCTGTCCAATTTGGACAAGAAGTTGTTCAAGTACTTGATTTTCTTTTCGAAATTTGTTTTTACAAACCAAGATGGAATTAAAATTGGAATTTAGTTTAACTAAAGGAACTGTAAAGGTTGTGTATCCACATAAGTAAGCAAACCAAAATTACAACTAACAATACTAAAATTAAACATGATCGTTTTTAGATAATGAATGAATTAAATATTATAAAATTCAAATATGTGGGTTGTAAGACTAGAAACCATGTGAAAAATCAAACCTTTAAATCAAGGTTAAATGCTAAATTTGGTCCCTCAACTTTAGTGAGTTGCACATTTTTGATCCCTCAACAATTTTTTGCACTTTTTTTATCCCTCAACTATACGAAATGCACTCCGTTAGTCCTTCTGTTAATTTGTATCGTTAACTCTGCTTATGTGGCATTTTTTATATTTTTTTGATGACGTGGAAAGCAAAATTTAAAAAAGTGATGATGTGCACAAAAACTTTTGCCATGTCATGCCATCGTGGCCAAAACGCACCAAATCCGTCTAAGTGGGTCCCACATCACCACTAAGAATTGCTTTTTTGTCCATTGATTACTGTTTCTGTTCTTTCCATCGATTGATTACTATTTCTGTTCTTTCCATCGACGATGTTCTTTCCATTTTCAAGATTGAAATCATTTAGACAATACTTAAAAAATATGAAGAAAAAAATCCCAAAAATCACTCACAATAACCTGCAATTTGGATAATCTCTTGATAAACAAA